TTTTAGGCGAAGACGTAATGATAAAATTTTGAGCAAAACTGTATTTCGCTCAGAAAAGGAGAGTAGGGCAGAAAAACTTTCATAAAAATTATTGAAAATAAACAAACGAATACAAGCAAAAATTTACATTATACAGGGGCACCCTGTATAATGTTCGATTTAAAATATGTAAATTTGAAACAACTTCCGGTATAACCAGAAGTCGCAAAATGTCGCTGTTGTCTCATCTGTAAAGAGCGTCTCCGAAAATGCCATTATTCGAGATATACTAATAAATCAATCAATCTTAACTTAAAAAAAAAATATGTTTTTGTCATCCTTTGTACACCTTCACATTTTCTGCCACTCAATGACTTTGTTTTGAAACTTTTGTGTCCCATGTAAAATTTACTCCCTACAGATCATCATCAGAAAGTATTTGCAACGCTCGACATTTTATCATTATTTACCCAAAACGGGAATAAAAACTTGTAAAATGTTTGAAGTCTTAATAATTGCCAACTTCTAAAACAGTTTAGAAATAATTTCTGAAAAAATGTAAATGTGTATAACTTTTGTGTCCCTTGTAAAATTTACTCCCTACAGATCATCATCAAAAAGTAATTTGCAACGCTCGACATTTTATCATTATTTAGCCAAAACGAAAAAAAAAACTTGTAAAATGTGTGAAGTCTTAATAATTGCCAATTTCTAAAACAGTTTAGAAATAATTTCTAAAAAAATGTAAATGTGTGTAACTTGTGTGTCCCTTGTAAAATTTACTCCCTACATATCATCATCAAAAAGTAATTTGCAACGCTCGACATTTTATCATTATTTAGCCAAAACGAGAAAGAAAGCTTGTAAAATGTTTGAAGTCTTAATAATTGCCAACTTCTAAAACAATTTAGAAATAATTTCTAAAAAAATTTAAATGTGTGTAACTTTTGTGTCCCTTGTAAAATTTACTCCATACAGATCATCATCAAAAAATAATTTGCGACGCTCTACATTTTATCATTATTTAGCCAAAACGAGAAAGAAAACT